TTTGGCAGTACTGATCTTGCCAACATATCCAATTTAATCAATTTTCGTGCTCTATATAATACAATTAAAGATTTTGTACAATTTAATATGGCACATCCACAATTGAACGAGTTGTTTAACTTATTAAAAAGAATTTACGAAAACAATGAGGAAAAGGTGATACGGAGGAGGAAGAAAATTCACAGGAAGAAAATATGAAAGAGGGAGGAGGAGAGAAGAATGATGACGACAATGAAGATGATATTTACCGTCGAATGACAACAGACGGTAATAATGACAACGCATATCTATGCAATAATGACGATGACAATAACAATGTAATGGAAGCAGATAATAATTATGATCTAACTATCGATAATGGTGGAGAAACAAGCTCCGTGAAGGGAGCGAGTTCCAGGTTCAAGAATGAACTGGATGAATAAAGAAGATGCGATATTGCTTAAATATTTTTTTCGAAGAAAAATATCAATGAGCTTTGTGGTTCTGGATTTAGTAGGAAATTAATGAAAAAATGGAGGCCCGAATTAAAAATTATTTGGTGTGCAGTATTTAATTTAATTAATTTTTGAAACTGTCATAACCAATAACCAAAAAAAAACAATGGCATAAAATAGTGTTAGTATATAGTAGAATAGCAATAATAATATACAATCATCATCATCTAATAACAACGATCAAAGATATTTGCTAGTAATACACCTGATGAACCTGGAAATTGAATATAAAGTTAGGATTAATTAATTGAAGAAAAAACTTTATTACTTACCTTTCAAAAAAATTTGTTTTTTTGTTAGGTAGTGTTTTATATATGTGTGTGTTAACTTTTATTTCACTTCTACTTCAAATTATAATAATCTGAGTCACGTGACAAAAAATATTGCCTCAACTAAATTTTTAGGAAATATTTTTTTTCACTTTTTACATGATACAAAAATTGTTCCGCCATAAACTTACACTATAATTTTTATATTTACGAAAAATTTTTAGAAAAGAATTCAAGCAACTAAATATTAGCTATCGCTGGATTATTCGATTATCAAAATTTTGGTTCGACTGATTATCCGGGTGTTAACTTTTATTGATTGACCGATTACCAAAATATTCATAATAGGTGGCTTAGCTAACAACAAAAAGCCTTATTTGTGTAATAAATAAAAATAAAATTGAAAGTTTTTTTTTTAATGTTACAAAATCTACGGGTTGATATTAAGTTTTTACGTAATTAATAAAAATGAATGTTCCGATTCTTTTGTATAGAATTTGTAACCAATCATAATTAATTTACGTTTAAATCTACCACATTTACTACATTTGTCATTAATATTTATTTTTACGCGTGTAAAAAGAATTTAAATTAACCGCATGTCCATTCTTAACCTTTAAAGTAAAAATATCCCATTACTATATAATAACTAAATTTTCTATCCGTGTTACTATTTTGGTCCCACAAATAAAATTAAAAAGAAAACACTTTCAACCTATTCAACCTCGACTCGAAAATTTAATTTCGACCATTTTAAAAAGCACAACTATTCAAAATGTCCAACAACAGTTTTTCATCTTTAGAAAATATCAATCTATTGTTTAACAATCTTATCAATTCCAATAAAGATACTTTGCCATTAAAACATATTATCAAACTTGTGAACGATTTAGCAAACTTATTAGGCGACTCCAAATTTTATGACATAGAAATTAAAGTTGGAGAGGATGATGATGTTAAGACTTTCAAAGTTCACTCTGACATTTTGAAAGCACGGTCTTTGTATTTTAAGGCTGCTTTGTCAGATAATTGGATAAAAAGACCTGAAAATGGAATTATTTTATTTCAGTATAAAAATATTTCTCCAAAAATATTTGAAGTCCTTTTAATGTGAGAATTATTTTTCTTTACATAAATTATTATTAATTGTTTATTATAATAATTAAAAAAAAATTTTTTTTTCCTTTGAAGATATATTTATAACGGGATTGTTGATATAGATAATTTCGATCCAGATGAAATTCTTGAACTTCTTAAAGCATGTGACGAGTTTAGCTTTAATGAATTAATTGAAGATTTACAAAATTATTTAATCACTGAAAAAAATGAATGGATTCAAAAGAATTTAATTAATGTTTTTAGATTTTCATCGCAATATCGTTTATCATTTGATATTCTTCAAAAACATTGTAACGAATTATTCAAGGACAATCCAGAACCTTATTTAAAATCAGAGAATTACAACAATATTGAAAAACATATGCTTATAACTCTATTGGAGAGTGATACGTTGTTAGAATTAGATGAAATTAAAATTTGGGATTATGTTATTCAATGGGGAATTTGTCAAAATAAAAGTGAATTGAAAAAGGACATTTCAGAGTGGAATAAAGTTGATTATAAAGAATTGAAAAACAATACATTAAATGATATTATTCCATTAATAAGATTTGATCTAATCTCTTCAAGTGATTTTGATAAAAAAATTAAACCTTATAAAAAAATTATTGATAAAAAACTTTATAAAGAACTTCTTCAATATTATTATCATAATGATGAATGGCAATCAAGTTTATTGCCTCAAAAAGGTCTAAGAATAGGAAAAGGGAATTTATTAAGTTTAGAAATGAAAACTTTAATTTCTAGCTGGATTGATCAAACTTGTGACTTAAATGATTTACTACCATATAAATTTAATTTGATTCTCAGTGGGTCACATGATGGATTTTCAAGGGCAATTTTTGAGGATAAATGTTATAATATTGAACAAACAGTTGTTATCATAAAAATCAAAGAAACAGGAGAATTGGTTGGTGGATACAATCCAGTTTGTTGGAATTTAAAAGAAAGACATAACAATGAAAGTTATAATATTGAAACAGATAAAAGTTTTATTTTTAAAATTGATGAGAATCAAATAAATAATTCAATATTGAGTAGAATCATAAGACCTGAACTTGCAATGTATCATTTTATACAAACCACCGAGTCTACTATAGATGGTATAACATTCCATGAAAGGTCAATAGATTTTAATGATTTAGACATACGCAACAGTATTAATAATGAACCTTATTGTTATTATAATTTTAAACAATATGAAAATAAATTGAATCTTGTTAATGACAATACTTTGGTTCATTCATTAGAAGATTTTGAAGTATATAAGTTAATAAAAAAATTTAAGTTAGGATAATTTATATATAAATAATTAATACTTATTTTTAAATTTATGTAATGTTAGTTTAAATAAAAAAAATTGCCTAATAGTTTTGCTTTTCTTCCCTAGAAAAATATCAGTTGTCATTATAACATATTAACAAACTTTTAAAACTTGTTAAATGAATTTGATTATCATCAAAGTTGGAAAGAATGACAATATTGTCACCAATTAATATTTGGGTGAGTGTAAATTTATGATCATGTGGATCAGAGCAAATTGGCTATTGCTAACAAATCAGTTTTATTAGCAAATAATTTTGTTTGTGATTTAAGAAAGTGTTTATTTAGTTGAAACTAATTTATTAACTTATTTCTAAGTTAATATTTATTACAAAAAAAGTTGTTAAACTTCATACAAAGTTATTTACACATATGTTGAATTCAAGCTTCTTGTATATATGGTGGCTCGGTCTAAAGACCACCTACTGCTGCGCCATATGACCAAATTTCAAAAATCTGATAAATTTTTTAAAATTTTTCAAAATATAATAAATTGTGATACTATAGGGCGATCTGCAACATTTCTTATCAAAAACTTTACCAAAATCTTATTGGCCGGCGGGACAATCACTGATACGTTCCCCCAAATATAGTAATCTGGGGTCCTACCCCACCCCCAGGTAAGACATTTTGATCATGTGTGAGATGATAATTTGCCTTTTTTAAGCATCAACTAATACAAGTGAAAAAAAAGAATTGATTTTATTAATAATGCAGAATAAAGAAACATTCATTTATAATTTATTATGATCTTTTGAAAATTCCTGGGCATGATTTGCATTGCTCATCCCTTGACCAAACAACCTATTTGATCCTGAGAGTAATAAAAACTTTCCAATTCTTACTTATTTGACAATTCCTATAAATAACATATGGGATACATATGGGGTTTATGGAAAACATATGAAAAAATGTACAGAATCTTACAGTGAAATGCTCCAAAAAGCACAAAATTTGTATGGGATAGATATAGAATAGATACATAATGCATACAAAACATACAGAATTCATCTTTCTCATACATATTTCATATTAGCACATCACATAATTCATACAAGAAATGTATGAGAAAAATGAAATCCATATTGGTATGTTTTCTATAAATACCATGTGTTTCATGTATTCCATATCTATATTCCATAAGGACTCAAACAATCTTAGGAGATGGTACATTTGAAAAAATACCACTTTATTACCATTTTTGAAAATAATTTACAAGATCATCACAAAATTTATCCTCATTAAGAAATGATATTTTGATTATGAAGGCCATTTCTACCAGGGCTAGCTGTGTAACTCAAATGAGCACTTGGCTAAACTGACTAAACTTATTTAGTCATATGTTAAGTCGAGTTTAGTCAAGATGATTATTAGAAAATTAGGTTTTTAACCCCTTTACACCACCAGCCCTGATTCCTACCCAAATTTGATCAATATATCATCTCCTAAGGTTGTTCAGGGTCCTATTCCATATCTACCCATACGAATTCCATGCATTTCATTGGAAGATTCCATATATTTTCTGTAAATCCCATGTGAATTACTTGTGTATTTCATACATTCTCCTGTACATTTCCTGTACACCTTCTGTTAATAATTTTTATAAGGCAGGTTGCAGATTGATTTGATTTCCTTGGTGGTCAATTGTTCAAATGCATACTGAACAGAAAATACCTTAAATTCATTTTCTACCAATTAATTATGCTAAAAAGTACACAATATCATTAAAGGGCTAATGTACTGACAATTGTTTGATTATTTATATAATAATTCTAAGCCTATTAAAAAATAAAAATTATTCAGACAGTGCTAATTTTAATTTCTTTTCACACAAAGGGTTCTCTGTGTTTTTCTTTTTACTGGTAGCATCTGAGCATAAAATGTGAATCATTGCAAAATAAGCCATTTAACTGCTCTCTTGAATGTTTACAAGGTTTTCCAGATGGCTCTTTGCAAAAAGGACAATCTTTGGGAGCATTCTTGTGACAGAATCTTACAAAAGCTCTATTAATATTTCCAAATGCAAAATCAGTCATATTTTTCAATAACTTTGTAACAATTCTCATCAGTTGAGGCTGGTATTTTTGATGGCTTTTCGGCGGAGAATATTCATGGTACAATTACAGAAAATAACACGGTTCATGTTGAGGTAAGAAATCTTCCAAATTTAATTAAGATGATGCAGGCCTTTTAACTTCTCCTTCTTTTACAATCCAAAGAAGCCAAAGACCGAAATGGAATTTAGGAAGTTCTGTATCAATAAACCAGAAACAGGGTTCTCTAACAATATTAGCAACTTTTTTCATAAAGCTTTGAAGCTTTCAATAATGTTGGTTTCCAAAACTAGAGAATTTTGCAACTGTGCGAAAGTCAAAAGGTTTCGCCATAAGTCAAAACCAGTTTTGACCTTTGACTTTTGACATATAAATTCTAATTTTAGTTTTGATTTTCGCTTCTCCAAAATAGTTTTGGCAACCAACACTATTCTCAATAGTCTACAAACCTGATATAAGGGTAAACTATGCCAATTGCGTTTGTTAGAATTCAATGAACTTACAAAAGCAAGAGATTTTAAATAATTCTGCAGTGAGCATCAAGAATTTGAGATATTAGATTTTCATGGGTAATTCTTGCAACGTCCAAAGAAGGTGTTTCATAATCAGGCTTTTGCCTAGTATCAATATCCAATATTGGATAAAGAAGACGTTGACGAAATTATATATGACGAAATTCATATTTATCGCCAAGGATCTTTTGAAGAAACTGACAAAATTGGCAAAATTGATTCAGCCAATAAAATCAGATGCTTATGATACTTACTGATCACCAAATAATAAATTTTTAGTGACGTGTGGACGATTGATTTCTACACATATATTAATTTGTTTTTAATATAGTGCAAACATTTCAGTTAATATTGTGGATCAAATTTGGACAAGGGTGATGATGGGCAAGTTACCGGTCATATGTAATTACTCAAAGTAACACTTTTTGAGAACCTAAAGTTTAATAATTTTCTTGGTTTTGCCTATTTACGTTATACATGGCATTTTATCATCATATCCTGATTTGATATAGTGATTCTATATGTAGTCACCATGGTGATAACTCATCACTGGATAAAAGGTTCCGAATCTAAATCATTTTTTAGTGGAATCACTGTACTATTTATATAAATCAATATTTAGCCATACTTTTTATCATTGGTTATGAAGGTTGATTAATCAATTTCAATTTCGTCAATTTCGTCAATGTGACGAAATTATCAACGGTTTGACGAAATAATTCCTCGTCTTGCAAAGTATTTCGTTGACCGTTCTCGTTCCATAAACTTTGGAAGGATGTGAAACTAGCGTAAATCCCTTTCCCACTACCTGAATTACATATTTGGAATATATTCCCTCAGGGCGATAGGCTTATAAGAGATCCATATCCTTTTTGAATGGTCCGTTATTGTAATCTTCATCAATATATTCTTCATTTACATAATCATCATTTCATTATAATTTTCATCATAGCCTTTTATTATTAATTTTCTCTGTCTTAACGGGTGGAAGTAAATTTTGATAATTTATATTACTAGGCATATAATTAAAAGAAGACTTAGCATTGGCGTATAAATGTATGAATAGGCAAACCGTTTTTGTTGACATAGGTAAGTTTCGGTACTACATTTCTGTCTTTAAATAAATTTGTTAAACTTTGGTACCATGAATTTGCTATAAATAACAATACATCTACACATGAGAATGACGCATCACAAAAACTTCTCCCTTCAGGATTACTTACAAAAGGACAGCCCATTGGTGACCGAAGAACTTGACAATAGAGCGTGAAAGAATAGATTTATTGGAAAAGCAAAACAATCGATCATTGACGGCAAGTTAATTACAAAGGTGATTAGATGTCTGCAATGGGACCAACCCGGCCTGGACCCGCATTGTGAACCGGATAGGCATAATTAATGAATGCGGGTTGGACCCGGTTGATACTTATACCTAGCATTTACAGTGTGCTAAAAAATTGTAACATACAACAGTAATAGGGTTTTTGAATAAAATGAATAAACGAATAGTCTGATAAAACAAATGATTTGATAAAATGAATAATGCGAATAGAGTGAATCAAACGAGTAATTCGAATAAAACAAATAAGCAAATAATGCAAATAAACAAATAAAACGAATAATTCGAATGAGAATTTGTATTAAGAATAGAAACTTTTGTAATACGGTATAACCGGTGGCTGGGCTGGCATATAAGAAAATTTCAAAATTCGTTAAAACGAGATTATTAATCAAAGATTTTTATTCGTGAGAAAAAAAAATCCAATGAAAAAAATAAAATTTTGATATTTATAAAACTGGGTTGATGCGGGTTGATGATTGGAAAAGTTTTTGTGTACGGTTGAGATTATTATAATTTTAGGAATTTGAGTTTAGGTTTAATTATGTGGACCATGCAGTCCACTAAATGTGATGCCTTTAGAAGTAGAATTATCTATGGAGTGACGTCCCCTGACTTATGACACCCCATCCCACTCTGTTATTATTCCTCTGCTTTGACATCTTCTACTTTATTGTTCTTCTAATCAATTCTTTTATTTACAGTTGCAAAATGAATGACTATGGACAAATTCTGGATATTAAATTTCCATCTGTGGAGGTTTGTTTGATCTTTTTAATACAGCTGAATTTGAAGTAGAAAATAGATTTTATCTCAATTTTTTTTTTTTTAATAATAATGATTTAATGAACGTAAAACGGAAAAATCTCTTAGTATTAGCGATACAGAATTTATATAAAACCATTTTCTTTGGTTTGCTAACTTGGAACTTTATCATGATTCTTTGACTAATCTTTATGCTTTTGCAGAAACCAAGAGGATCAAGATCATTTAATACAAATTATTACCTCCGAAAAATGTAAGTACAAATTTTATCTGAAAATAATATGACTCTTTTATTGATTATGCAGTTAAGAATTAAAGAAAGATATTTAAAGGCAGTTCAAGAGCAATTAATAGAAAGAAAGAGAAAGTCGAGGTTGAAAGGAATTTCGAGTGGACAGCTGCTTAACATTAATTTTCGTTGTTTTAAGGCTGAATAAAAACCATTGTGCAAAGGAAGGCCATACTGAAAAATGCTACTGAATGACAATTAGTCAATGAGAATAAATACTCTGGCAAATATTATCTATTAAACTGAATCTCATTCAAAAAATCCTTAGATATTTTGATTTAAAGACCTTGATAATGGCATTAACAGTGTTGTTCTAGATTATTAAGCAAAAGTCCTAATACTAATTTAGCTAAGCTTGAATGTAATTAATAATCCCAAGTTAAAATTCTCGTAGTTAATTATGCTGAAATAAAATATCTAAATTTTAGCAATGTCCAAGGTTGGATGTTTCAACTGCCTCTTCTACTCTCATTAAAAAATTTGATGAGAATTACAATACAAAATTAAGGACTTTGCAATTTTCTCGATGTCAAAACTTCTTGTAAAAGATAAGCAAAAGACTTAAAAATTTTATCACTCAAAATTCTGCTTTAACTGAAATAGATTTGAATGGAGGCCAAAATTGTATTTAGATTCATTCGATATAGAAGATTGTTGTCTATTTAATATTTAACTTAGATCTTAGTACTAATCATCAATTAACTTCCTTGTAAATAGAGGATACTGCTATAACCAATTTAGACTTATCAATCTCATCTCTAAAAAAGTCCAAAAACAATTAGCTGAAAATCAAACCAGAATAAAAATACAAAAAGAACGACGATTAGTGATGCGATCCATGGGTACGGGTATCCATTCATCCGTTCATCCGCTATTTACCTCTAAAATTTAATACGTCATCCGGTAATCACACAAAAATACATCCGTAGGATTAAACGGATATAATGTAAATATCATTAAAGGTATAACAGAACAGTAAAAACTAACCCGCAATATACGTGAATTATTTACAAAAATAGGGGATTAGCATAGATATTTTCCTGATAAATAATTATTTTATAATAATCCATGATTTTACAAAAAGGAAAAAATTTTACTAGAGAAGTCAAAAGGTATTATTTAGAGATAAGCAAAGATCAAAATGTTTTGTATAACCTAAAAAAATTTAAAAACATAGTAAAGAAATAATGAAGGGAAACAATTTTTAAAAATCCAATTTGTTGTAAGTTAGTACACAAGGTTTGTTAACTTGACAGTTTCGAGTGTTGAAATACGAATTACAAACCACAAAAGTTCGGGCAATAAATTTATTTCGAATGAAAAAACTATGATAACAATTGTAGTAATTTTTTATGAAGAAAACTTTTCACTTTGGTACGCGTGCTTGCTTGGCCATTTCAAAGACGAATTCATATAGTTTAGCCTTTTCTAGAAAAATTTGACGATCAAAAACGTTGGGGTCCAAGTTTGAACAGATCATCCGGATATCCTATAATAATTACTACTACTACTATTATAACTCTCATCCATAATCTGATGACTTTTCAAAAACCATCCGTATGTGACCGGGTAAACTGAATCAAAATAACTTTTATCCTTTTTTGAAAAAAAAGTAGAGCCCTTGCGGTCGAACCAGTAATTTTGGAATAGTATATTTCGAACCATAATAATAAGAACCATCGAACATTCGAACCAGTAATTTTGGGCAGAACATCTCGAACAATCGAACTATCTAATATCCGAACATTTAAAACCAAGCGATATTCGTTACATTTTTAGTAAAGATTTTCAGTGTTCTCTTGAACAATTGAATTTTTTTTTTTTTTTTTTTGAAGCGAGAAATATTTTGTCAAAGAAATTTCGGTCAAAGTTTCATTTTTAATTATTAATTTAATAAAAATGTTAGAGAATAAAGAAACAAAAATTTGCATATGTAATTTTAAGAACCTAGCTACAAGATGATTTTATTTATTTATTTATTTATTTTATTTTATTTTTGCTGTGTATTTAATTCAAATCACAAAGTTGGTTCGAATCGGTTCGAGTCACATAATTGACTCGAACCATTTAATTGTTTTGAACCAAAAATTATTAACGATTATGGTTCATACCGGTTCGTACGTAGCTCTGAAAAACCAATTAAGCATAGGGTAATTTTTTATAACCAGTTACTAAAATTTGAACCCCAAAATTTTTTATCGATCGAATATTATTATTATATTAATTTATGTGTAATAAACCAACCAAATATAGGAAACAACTAAAACCAAAAACTGAATAAAAAATCATCCTTTTTATGCACTTTATGCATTCTATGGCGTTTTTGTATTTATGTACTTTACAATTGTTCACACGTTTTTCTCAAACAATAAACGAGTAAATATGAATGAGTAAATAATGAATGGATGAATGAATAATGAATGAATGATAATCAATTAACCAATCATGATGTAATACATTGTGGTACATCATCGGAGCATAAATAATAATAATAATGTGTTCCCTGATCTAGTTCCCAGATTCTCGTGTAGATGTTATTTTAACTTCTGACCATTTTGTCAATTTACTCCATTTAGTATTGCATTGATGATCGCATTCATTAGAGTTTCCTAATCAAGATATTAAACACTATGTTTTTTCCGATTTTGTTATTTTATTTATATTTCCAAAAAAAAAATTAAATTATTACACACGCACAAATACTTTGGAGACATGATTCGGGACTTTTTTTTGTTTTTTTAATTTCGTGGCGAATAATTATGCACTATTACTATTGATTATCGTAATTAAGTATATAAATTATTTATTATTTTTATTAATAATCATAATTATAAAGTAATTTTATGAAAGAATACTTTTCTTTGAATCTAAATAAACGAATAAAAAAGGTAATGGTTACAATATAATCACCTTTTTCTTTATTTCTTTTTTTGAATATAAATAAATCTGATTTTAAAAATTTCCCACAAAAATAAAAATTCTCTCTTTTTCTTGTTGAAAAATAATTCTTTTTCAAAAAAAAATTAATTCCTTAATTAAAATTAATTAATTTTTTTTTTTTTAAAAAAAAATAATAATCCCAAAAATTAAATTAATTAATTTTAATACATAAACCCTAATTTATATATATATATTTATATATATATATATTATATATACTATCATCAAACTGGATCCAACTAATGGTAATAGTGGCAGTATGCCGCAAAAAAGGAAAGCTTCTGCACTTGCCTCTGCAAAAATTGCTGAGGATGCTGCCGGTGGTAGAAGAAGAAAATCTGATCCAAAAAACCCAATAAATAATAACAATGGAAACGGCAGTGTTAATAATAATAATAATAATAATACAAAAATTGATGATAAAAAAAAATCTTTGACCGATGATGATATCGATAAAAATAACGAAATAAAAAATAAAGATGAAGAAAAAGATGATTCCACTGAATCACCACCAGATAAACGTAGAAGAAAATCTGAAGAAAATGATAATGCTGAAAATAATCAACAAAATGGAAATAATGGTTTAAAGCAACTTGACATTGACAATAGTAGTATGATGAGTATGAGTAGTATTAAGGATACCCAGGGAAGTGATCTTGCTAATATGGATTATGAACTTAGTGCTCAAAAAGAAGAAAAATCTAAAACCGACGAAAATCCAGAGGAAAAGGTTTCACAGCAACCCACGACCAATAATGATAATAAAATAGATGAAAAATCTTATGAAAAAGTTATTAAAGAAAATGAACAAGAACTTGAAAAGAAAATGTACCCAAAAACTCTCGAAAAAGGTCATATTTGCTTTCTTTATAGACCAAAGGTTTGTATCTGTCACGTGATATGTCGAAGTAATTGCTGCACAAGAAAACAATAACATAACTAAACAATTACGGTTAATAATAATAGGTCAATGTTGAAGAACCTAAAAGCATTGAAGAAGTTCGACGAATGCATATTGTTCTTTTGCCACACCTAGTAAGACACTCGTTAGAAGAACAACCTGTCAAAAGTTATTCTCATTTGTCAATCCAAGGTAAACTTGATGAACACTCAAATGCTGAAAAACCACATATAGGAAAATCTCGTGTAATCACTATTGGAAAGAAAAAATTACCCGAAATTGAAAAACATTCTAAATTCTGGGGTTATATCGTAAGTTATCCTAATAAAAAAGATATGTGTGATGTTTATTTGTGCATTAAGAAATAAATAATGAATTTCTGTCATCTTCCGTTTGCTTTCCTCTTCTTTTTTTAAAAAAAAGGATAAAGCATTTAATGACTCGAATGAACTTAAAGAATTTGTTTCTGGAAGAACTTATCAAACTGCTACCAAAGGTCAACAAGCTCTTCAAGATTGCAGAATCTTTGTAAGTAGTTGATATTTTTTTTAAATTTTTTTAAAATATATATTTTTACAAATTATCAATTAATGAATTTAATCTTAGGGGAGAGGAGTTTATAACATAGTAGAGCATCATGGGCATACTCATTTAGCCTACGTATTGGAAATTCCAGAAGAACCAACTGAAATTCAAAAGGAATTCAACGTCAACAAAGAGGGAACCTATGTCATAAGTATTAAGGTAAATAAACATTACATATTTATATAATTAAAATAAATAAATAAATCAAAACTAACATTTTAATTTATTTATGAATCAAGAATCCTGATATATCAAACCCATCATACACAGGACTTTCTGGGCACGAAAAAGTAATTTATCCTGATCGTCTTGTGCAAAAATTCCAAGGAAGGCGATTTATTTCTTTGGAAACAACTGAATTTTTGGATTATAATGGTACCGAATTATTATTTATTGGTGCAAAGGAAGATATTGCTCAAGATTTGGGCGAGGCAGGAAAAGAACTTGAGGAATTGGCAGAATACGAAACGAAAACAATCGTTCCATTTGCTGAACGTGTAGTCTTTGATGATTTACATTTTGAAAAGGGTGTTTTGCCAATTGAACCACTTCATGGTTTATGGAAATAATTTGAAATATTTTTTCGTGTTGCAATTGAATTATTGGTTTACTTGGTTTTCTTTCGATGGTGATAATAATTATAATAATAGTGAGTTAATGGTTAATAAATAATTGGGTACATTTTTAATATTAGCATTGATGGTGGTAATTGCTAGTATTGCAACGATGATAATATTTCTTAATAAACATTATTAATCAAATAATATTATATCATATATATTTTACATTTAATTATATGTGCATATATTATAATTGCAATTTAATATTATCTTTTAATTATTACTGAACATTTGAACATTTTTTTTGTTTTTGGGGATTTGGGCATTTTAGTACTAAAGATTAATTTGTTTGTAAATCATGAAACATATACAAAATAAATAAACAATAAATTTTTGAATTTAAAAATAATCAATATGTTTTCGCATTCATTGCAAAAAAAAAACGATGATAGTGATTATCTAAAAATACCAATCATCATTAGCATATAGCGAGATTAATTTTTAAAATTCATGGTTTGGAGATGCCTATTTTAAATGTGAAATTCAAAAAATAATTAGGACTACTATTGTACGAATCTCGAATTCCCTTGAATTTTTTTTTGCTTAATGATATGCATATTTGATTTTTTTAAATGATTTATATTATGCGCATTTAACTCATATTTATTTAATATCCTACTCCATTAACAAATAATTATTACAGTCTGTTCAAATTGGACTTTCTATAAATGCTATAGAATGTGACAAAATCCAACGATAATGGTGGTTTAAATAAATAACAAAACTAAATTTCAAGAAATGTTCACGTTACTATTTATTACACAGGCGTCTGATGACATACAGCAGGTTTAAGTGCAGGGAATTTTAATGTGTTGTTTGACAATTGTGAATCCTAGCAAGTTTGATACTAATATCATTTAAACTAAAAATGGTAGAATTTTTTTGATTAAACTTTTAAATATAGTAATTCAAAATTCAATTGGTTATTATTATTATTTATATGCAAATGCATTTTTTATGATTATTGATTGGTATTCTCGGCATTCTTTATCTTTAACATTTTCTCTAACACTAATACTAATATTAATATTAATGATATTTTATTTTACAGAGTAAACGTCACACAAAACTGCAGGGGCTAAAAAGTTTTTGATTTTGGTACACAGTTACGCAAAGCATCCATCACACTATTAATTTCTTGACTTCCTTTCTTTAGTATTTGAACGCATGACTCTTCTCCTCATACTATAGATGTCACGCTAGATTAAAAACATTTATGTGCAGCGAATTTTTTTAACTGTAACTATTAATAGCTATAATCAATTAATTGCTTAAAACTATATTATCATTTTAAAAAGTTAACCGATAAGTTTTATTGTTCATAACTCAGACTTCAAAACTTTTTCTTAAACTAAAAAATTGGTTAGCCTTAGCATTTTGAAAATTCTAAGTTTTGTTATATTTTAACACTTAATTGAGAAGTAAAAATACTCGTGAACAAAAAAGATGTTACACATTAATATTAATATTAAATACTAATACATTAAAAGAAAATCAAAATATGGTGGTACACAAATTATTATTGTAAATTTAAAAAAAAACTCGAGACAATTTTTTTTTACATGAATTGACTCCTCTTATACCTGAATTGAATGGTGGTGGTTTTTTTTAATATATTTCTTTTTTATACAAGTGATCAACACGTGTTATATTTGTAATTTACTGCGCATATTAAAGTTTAGTGCACACTCAAAAATCGGATATGGTGCAAACATCAAAAAAAAATTGCCAATCTTTAAATGCTAAGGCTCAATAATTATATTTGTAAGAAGAAAAACTCTATTTTTGCAATCTTAGCAATACAATCAAACCTCATTTCAACGGATCTAAGGGATTGATCACCTAAATCTGTTGGTCAATAGGCAAATTTTTATTATTTTACCATTGAAAAAGAGAAAATACATATGTATAAAATTATACAAAAAATTAAAATGCTAATAATAATGGAAAAAACTAGTAATGTTTGTTTGTATTGAATTTTGAATACTATATGACTCTATTTTTTTCTAGTTTTAAAGCTTTTAATTCATTATAAAAGCTTTACAGCTTCATTTTGAAACATTAGAAATAGTTGTATAGCATCTTCCTCTTCAATTTGCTCAAAAGAACTAAGAATTCCCTCTTCAGTTGACATTTCATCAATTGATATATATTCCTCTGCTGTTAATGCTGAACTGAAATTTATTCTATCATTAAATTATCAATAGTGATGGTTGTAAGCTTATCAATTTCTTTTGAATCAAAACCATTTTGTTTCTTAATAAAAATTTTAATATTCCTTGCAACAAATAATTCTGGTAACTAGATGTAAATATAATATAAACACATATTGTTATAATAAATAATTTAATAACTTATTTTGAAAATACAAACCTTAAAAGAATGGATGATCCCTGCATCACATTATTGCAAGTGCACAGTTGTATTTGGAGGCAAGTGATAAATTTTTATATTTGCTAACCTTGAATTATCCATTAAAAATATGTGATTTGTGCATTGTCATTAAATAATAATACCATTACTCAAAAAAATTTATCATGTTCCTAACCACATTTTGCTAGAAATCACCTCATTTATGAATAAATAAAGGAAATAACCAGTCACATTACAAGTCAATAATACTGTAAGCCTGGGATGGGAGCTGCTAATAATCCACAAGTTGGTTCCATTTTCCAATAAAGATCTGTCTCATGGTGATTAAAAATACCCACTTTTTATAATTTTTAAGAACATCTTTCAATTCTTCTCTCATTTCAGGAATCTGTTCAATAGGCGCATTTTGAGATTCCCCATGCTTGTTATATTCTTTAATCAAATATCTTTGCTTGAATTTATTAAGCCAACCAGGTTAGTGATGGGCATAAAAATTATTTTGAAAAATGATAGTTATCAAGTACTTAATAGCTCTATTATTAAGCGTTAAAAAACACAGTCTGACATATTTGGCAAATCTTTTATGGGTAACAAAAAGGATTTTATTATTATTATCCACCAAAAATATATATTTCATAATTTACCTATAAAAAAAATATTTCAAAATACTATGACTAAACAATTCAATTAATTCAATTAATAATTAATTAATGTATAAAATTCATGTGTGGTGTGGAATGTGCAGTGCTAACTAAATTTTGGTAATTATTCACAAAAATCCGCTGACAATAAGGTTGCTTGCCGAAACCTCTTAGTGATTGACAGAACCCCCAGATGTGAAACTCTGCCAAAGCTCTTATAAACAATTAACCTGTCAAAACTCTATTGATTGATTTCTGGAGGAGTTTTGCCCACAACCTTAGCTGACAATTACCAAATTTGGTTAACATTGCACATTGAGTTTTATACATTGGTGATTGATCAGCAATTGGATTAATGACTTTCACCTTGTTGTATAACTTGGAGGGTTCTGACACAAAACTTGATTTTTTCTTTCCAGTTTATATTCACAAGGTGTTCCAGATAACAATTTCGATATCATTAATGTTTTATATCATGTATATTCACAATGACATGTAGATGTCAATTTCATATCAATTTCATATCAATTTCATTATCACAAGTTTCAGGCCACATTCCCAGATCCAAAAAATTCATCATATATCTGAAATAAAAGTAGAAATCAAACTAGTTAATGGGGGACATGAAACAGGTAGTCAAAAACTGAAACAAAATTCAATACTCAAATATACAGAGAACAAAGTGAAAACAATCTGCATTGCAAAACAGAGCAGTTGATACTAAAACAAGAAAACTAATAAATTAATAAAATTTTCAAATTAAACATTTCTGGATTCTATATAAAAACAAAACAAAAATGTTTGAATATATTACTCAAACTTTTAGCTATATTACCAATTATACATGATATGGTAATTAGCTAATTACCGTAAATACGTAATTCGTAATTAACGTAATTAATTACCACTTTCACTC